TTTTTTATTTTATTTTTTTTTTGAGTTGGAGCCCCACTCTGTCGCCCAGACTGGAGTGCAGTGGCCGCTCCCGGCCACCGCAGCCTCGACCTGCTGGGTTCCGGTGATCCTTCCACCTCAGCCTTCCAAGTAGCCGAATTACAGGCACGCACTACCGCACCCGGCTGATTTTTTGATTTATTGTAGAGATGAGGTCTCGCTGCCCAGGCGGGTCTCGAACCCATGGGCTCAGGCAATCCACTCACCTCAGCCTCCCAAAGGCGCGGGATTACAGGCTGAGCCACCAAGCCTGGCTTAATTTTTTATTTATTGTAGAGACAAGGGCTCGCCAAGTTGCCCGGGCTGGTCTCGAACCCGTGGACCCAAGCAATCCACTCGCCTCTGCCTCCCAAAGCGCTGGGATTACAGGTTGAGCCATTGAATCTAGCTGAGCTTTGCATTCTTAATCATGAAAGTATCCAATTTGGGTTGGAAACCTTTTCGATAGTGGCATACCAACTGCAGGTGTGGGGTGAACTGCACCTGTGCCAGGCAGTTCTCATTGAACCTCTAGGTTCTGCAAATTTTAAGCAGAAAAGTTGGAATGCAGATTCAGTTGACAATATATTGAGCAGAAACATGTCCTGGCAGTATTTGTTACTTGTCAGGATGCATGCATCTTACACTTGGCTATCTTCGCCTATTAATGTTCTGCCAGACTCCAGGAGAAAGCTGAAGGGAAGAAGAGGAATGTGTTTGTGGGAATCAGTGCACATACTCACACATGCCACTGCTGGCATTCCATGAGCCCAGCTCCTCCTTGGGGATTTAGGAGGTTATGTCCAAAGCTACACAAACCAACCAGAAAGCAGAGTGAGTAAGACACTGTGCATAGTGGTTTTGGGTGTGGTTTGAAAACAGGCTTCTTTGTTAAATATGTTAACCATGATTAGAAGGAAACCTGGAACCACAGAGCTTTTATGTTGGGAATATGGGCATTAGATAATCTTCACAAGGACCTTTCATTGTACTTTCTTCTCATGGAGGCAGCTTAAATGGCACCTCCTCAGAAAGCCCTCTCATGACCATCCACTCTAAATCTGAAGACTCCCCTATTTTAATTCTCTGAGGAGAATTCATCAGTATATTTCAGAGAACCTTGATAGTTCCAACTGCAGTTAATGATTGTTGTCCTTGTTTCCTTGGTTATTTTCTGTCTCATCACACCAGATAGTAGCCTTTGAGGGGTCAAATGTGTCTTGTTCACCAGTGTATCTCCAGCTCCTGGAACCATGCCCAGCACAGAGCAGATATTCCATAAATATGTGATGTGTGAATAAATAAATGTTGCCGGTGGTAGGCAACATTCTAAAATGTCCCCAAGATTACCATTCCTGGTATTTATGTCTTGTATAATCCCTAGGGCTGTAAATGTGATGGAATATTATACCTGTGATTGGGTTGTATATCACAGTTGACCTTAAGAAGGATAAATTATTCTTTGGTCTTAACTGCAGATGATGAAGGGAACATCATCATTTGGAAAGCATCTAAATAAGATGCACATATTGTGCCACTACTGTGGCTCTAAGGCCTACCACCTTCAGAAGTCGACCGGTGGCAAATATGGCTCCCCTACCAAGTGCAAGAGAATGTATGTCAAGGCTAAAAGATATAATACCACCAGGACTGGTCAAATGAGATACACAGATCCAGGCATGGATTTCATGACGAAACAACACCTAGACCCAAGAGGACAGCTGTTGCAGCATCCAGTTCATTTTAAGAATTTCAGTGATGGCCAGGCATGGTGGCTCATGTCTGTAATCCCAGCACTTTGGAAGTCTGAGGCAAGAGGATTACCTGAGCCCAGGGGTTCGAGACCAACCTGGTCAACTTGGCAAGACCTCGTCTCTACAACAAAATAAATTTTAAAAAAATTAGCTGGTGGCATGTGCCCGTGGTTCCAGCTTCTTGGAAGACTGAGGTGGATGGATTGTCTGAGCCCAGCAGGTAAGGCTGCAGAGACTGTGAGTGTGCCACTACATACCAGCCTGGGTGACAGATTGAGGCTCTGATTTAAAAAAAAAGAATTTAAGTGATTAGTCATGCAATAAATATTCTGATTTAAAAAAATAAAAGGCCAGCCGAGCTCGGTGGCTCAGCCTGTAATCCCGCGCCTTTGGGAGGCTGAGGTGAGTAGATTGCCAGAGCCCGCGGGTTCAAAACCCGCCTGGGCAGCGAGACCTCATCTCTACAATAAAATAAAAAAATCAGCCGAGCGTGGTAGCGCATGCCTGTAATTCTGGCTACTTGGAAGGCTGAAGCGGAAGGATCGCCGGAGCCCAGCAGGCGAGGCTGCGGTGGCTGGGAGCGGCCACTGCACTCCAGTCTGGGTGACAGAGTGAGACTCCAACTCAAAAAAAATAAAATAAAATAAAAGGCCATTGCCTTGCTAAGCATGTGTAAGCATGTGTTCTTTGAGCTCTGGCCAGATCTGTTTTCCTAAGCTTTGGCCCCCT